AAATATAATATTCCTTTATCATTTTATAAATTCCAGTCTGCTCGTCTGTTTTTTACACAACCCTATTCCATACTTAATTCAAGTATAAACTGGTCGTCAATGTAAATTTTGCAACTTGCGAAATTATTTACGTCATCACGAACTGTCTAAATCCATTGTGTTTAGGTGTGTGTGTGTATGTGACAGATCTTGACGTGCTCTTTCAGATTACGTCCAACACATCGCCTTAGGCTAAATACTTGACGAGGAATTCACGAAAGAAAAAAGAAAAAAATCGACCCATCACTGGTCGATCACGTTGCATATCTTTAGTTCATTTTTGAGCCATTTACTGGACATGGTACAAGAACATTCCTCCGACGAGGAAACACCAACTAACACTGAAGAATGATCGTCGTTGCATGACCGGATTAAGGAACATGAGGACGGGTCGCTCGGCGCACCGTGGAGAACTCGTTCAGATCTCCCCGACGACATCCACCTGCTGTTGACCAGTGCTAACCGCCACGTGGTGGTTTTTACACTCCTGACACAACCCGAGGAACACCAGTTGTCGCAGCATTTGTGCCAGCTGCTGCTCCACCAACGACTGAAGCAGATGGCGCTTCAGTGCCGTTGCCAGCCGACAACGACCCGTCGGGTGTCCGAGCTGAAGACATCGGTTCAAAAGCAGCTGCAGTTACAGTGGAACAAAGCGTTCAAGAGCGGCGTCTTCCGTAACGTCAACTTGCTGCGGACTTTTTCAGCTGGCCACAAGCTGTACGTTGGACTCGACGACGAGTCTAAACTTTCCCTAGCAGCGAAGCCGGTAGAAGCTCCACGAGGCGGAAAGCCTCAAGTTCCAAGACGTGAAGGCGGCCGGGAAGGCGCCGCCAAGAACAATGGAAAAGTCGGCGGAATGACCTATGCGATCATGCCCAAGACCGCCGAGCCACCTGCCAACAAGGGCTGCTTGATTGCGATGTCATGAGTCACCGTGGGGCGCGGTGCCCGCCCCTGGCGAAGCCGAAATGTTGTTGACAGCGCAAGTCAAGCGCTGGAAGGACGGCATCAAGGTGCTGATCAACCAGCCGGAGCGACAAAACTCAGAACGCGGCGGGCTATTGGAGAATGCCGTCCACGTGGACGATGTCCTGTTGGATGTGACCGTTGTCATGCGCGGCGTTATGCGTTGGTCACAGCCGGTGTCGAAGTTGGGATTGTCTTCCATAGCGTGCCACAATTGGCGTACCTGTACGGCAGTGACGCCAAGTCAATTGTGATGACGCCCAGCGTCAAGTTCAACTGCGTGATGCTGGACACGACGTGTGGACCGCCCAGGCATGGAGCAAGGAAGAAGCATGAATAATGGGACGTTTCGTCCGTATCGACAAATGAATTGTCCGGCATGGTGAATGCCAAGTGCCTGAAGGCGAAGAAGTTGAATCCACCGGAGCTTAACCCCAATGACGGGATGGAGTGTACTACTCCGGAGGTTTATCCCAAGACCTCCGTCGAGAACGAAGCGGAACGGCGCCGTACGAAGCAGGGCGCCGTTCAAGCCATTCTACCGGCCAAGGCAGCCGAGGCGAAGACTCGCGGGCGCAGAAGCGATGCGGCTGCGCGACTTATTCGCCAAACACATTGATGTGTTCGGTGAAGACTTGGGCGATGATCTGCCAGTCGAGGTCGAGCCACTGGAGGTTCGGATCAAGCCCGGCTCGACACCGGTGAAGTGTGGGATGCGGTGGTACCCGCAGCTGTATGTATAGTACATGCGATGCCATGTGGCTTCTCTGGAAGCGAATGGTATGATATACCAAAACAACCGGGCTACGTCGGCCTCAGCCCCAAGAATCGTGCCGAAGAAGGAAGTCGGCGACTTGCGAATGACGATCGACGGCAGGTCGATCAACACCTGCATGGAGTTGATGCCTTGGTCGATGCCAAATCTGGACAGCGCGATGGTCTGTCTGGTCGGAACGACGGTGTACTTCACATTGGGCTGGACCAAGGGGTATAACCGCTACATGAGGATAGCCAGGTGTACAGTACTTCTCCTTCATGACCCCCTTCGGCCTGTACACCCCGACCAGCTTGCTCATGTGACAGACGGACACTGTCGCGTACTGCCAGTCGGTCGTCCACCAAATGTTTGGTGAAGTGCTGTTCCAAGGTCTGTAGGCCTGGCTCGAAGACGATAGACGAGCTTTTCGCCTTGTTGGACCAAGTCTTGACCATCTGTGCCCAGTTCGGACTCAAGTTGTGCCCGAAGAAGAGTCATTTCTTTCTGCACGAGGCGGAGTGGTGTGGCAAGGTGATTTCGGCCGATATTCCCCAAGACGAATTCAAGGACTCGTGGATTTGTCGTCGCCGACGACAGCGGCTGACCTCCAACAGTTTGTGTGTGCCACGTGCGAGCATCCCTGGTTACAACCAGCTGGTGGATCCGTTGCGACGCTTGCTTGACGTGGCCACCAAGACAACGAGAAGCTCCAAGAAAACGACGTTAGTGCTTGTTGCACTCCCTCCCGTGGGATGGTCAATTGGTCATCTCAGGTGTTTCAAAGATGCAAAACACGCGTTGGCGCATGTGGTGCACCTGTCGTACCCACGAAAAAAAAAAAACATTATGTGTTTTCACGGGCCTAATGACCTGTTTTGGGGTGCGGTCGCCACACAAGTACCGCCAGCGGACCTGAACTTGCCTCTCTAAGATCAGCGGCATCAGCCGCTTACTTTCATCAGTGGGTGGTTTTCTACCCCATCGTCGAGAAGGAGGCCTATGCCGTGGTCGAGTCGTGTAAATGACTACCTGGTTATACGCCCGGATGGTTTCCGTCTGATTACGGATCACATGTACATCTGCAACCCAAGTGGCTCGAACGCTAACATGGCTAAGTCCCCGGCCGACAAGCTGCAGTGATGGTAGCTGGTGATGTCGACCTTCCGGTACACCATTTAGTGCGTCCCGGGTGACGCGAATGTATCGGGCGACCTCCTGGATTAACCAGTCGCGAATGTTTGCAAGTTGATCCATGTGGTGTCGCCTCTGCAACAAGTGGACTTCGAGTGGTCGACAGCCGCTACAATCAGCGGCATCCAACGTTGAACCATGGAAGGGGAAGGGACTCTCCCAAACGGCGTGGATTGGGACGACGACTCCCATTTATACGTGGACCCAGACGGACGAATCTGGTCAACGCGGATTTGTGTGATTGTTTATCAAGGAGTCGAGGTCACCGTCGCATCGCAGCAACGACCAAGTCGGTGTCCGACAGTAGTGGTGTGTTTAACCACTAATATCAGTGTTATATTTGCTACCTTGATGAAGTTCCCTTGGCCGAAAGCGAAGAAGAAGCGGGAGACAAAACAAGCAGCCATCAAACTCACCTGACCTCAACGTGCTTGACCGCGGATTTTTCTGAGCGATGCAGTCGCTGCAGACAGAGCATCACTCACGCAATGTGGAAGAAATTGTTGTGTCAATAGAAAACTCGTGGTCCAAGATCGATTCCTACACTTTGAAGGTTGCAGAGTTGTTAGCAAGAAGTCATGCGGCCCTTTGGCAACAACGACTATAAAATCCCCCATGTGAAAAAGTCGAAATTGATGGCCCGATGTATGCTCCTGGAGGTCTTTGGGTACGACAAGGAAGTTTTGAGGTTTGTGTAACTAGACTCAATGGTATGAACTAAGTCGCATACAGACTTGGAATTATAGGTTAGCGCGAATTTGGCATTAGGTGACTTGTGTACAGAGATTGAATTGCTCAAAATCGCCGAGAATGATACGCAGGATGAGGACAAGCTCAACTGGGATATCAAGTTCTTTTAGAGCATCCCCTCATAACGTAAATGACCAAGTTATGATCACTGTACCAATTTATGATCACCCCCTGTGAGCCAATCGCATCGCAGAATTTTTTTACTAGAAAGCCTCCAATAGATTTGAACTTGTTTCCGAATCTTCCGGACATTAAACTTGAAACCGGGTAAGTTCCCCGCAGATGACCTAAAATTGTTAATTGCTCAACATGGGTAGTATGCAGGCTGGTGCATCCATGGTTAAACGCACCGGTATGATTGGTGCAATCTAACACTGCAAACTCCTATGGCTCTGTC